AGAGTTTCTTTTTCTAGAGAGGAACACAGCTGAGAAAGATACAGTGCTGAAAATACAGACTAAGTAAAAGTAAATCACTGATGTTAGACCTTATGTTAGTCGGCTTTCTGTCACTGTAGTGAAATACCCAAGACAATTTTTTGACTTAATTGCCCGTTTTTGTTTTTCGTTTTTTGTAGTTGAAGCATTAAAAAAAAACTTGTTAGTACATATTTACCATACATAATGTTCTCATTCATCATAGGGAATTTATACCTGTATGTAATGTGTCTTCTTTTTTTCCATTCCCCTCTTCTCCCTTCAACCCTTCTTCTCGTCCCCACTTACAAAAGCTTTGTTTTCACTTTTTCCTTCTATTCTTTTTTTTTTAAATCCCTGTTCCTTTCCTTCTGTTCCCTCACCCTCCCTGTTCCCCTTTCCATTTGAACATGTTCTTCCTACTTCCCAATATCTATCCACTATTTTGCTCCTTATTTACCCTTTGGTTTTCTTACACAAGAGAAACAATGCAATATTTAAACTTGCATGTCTGATTTGCTTCACTCAAAATTATGGTCTCAACATACACCCATTTACTTAAAAATGATTCTCAAGTTTCCAAGATAATCAAATTATAAAAAAGGTTGGGCCAGGAATTTAGCTTAGTGGTTCTCCTACCTGCCTTGCACATAGAAAGGTCCTGAGTTTGATTCCCGGTACCAAATAAAAAAATAAATAAATAGAGGGCTGGGGATTTGGCTCAGTGGTTCCACCACCTGCCTCACAAGTGCGAAGGCCTGACTTAGATCCCTGGTACCCCCCAAAAAAATAAATAAAAATAAAAATAATGTAAACTAAAAGTTTATTTTGGTTCACTGTTTGGGGAGTTTCAGTCCATGATTGATTAATCCCATTATTTTGGGTCTGTGGCAAGGCAGAAATAGATCACAGTGGGAGTATATAGCAAAGCAAAACCAGTCACCTCATTTTGAAGGACAAAAAGAGAGGAAGGAAGAGACTGGAGTTCCACAGTCTCTTCAGGGTCACAAACCAAATGACCTAAATACTTCCCACTAGGCCCCACTTATTAAAGGTTCCACTACCTCCCTCCCAGGTTGCTGAACTCACCCTGGGAGCCAAGTCTTTAATGTACAGTATGTACATTTGGGAAACACTTAAGACACAAACTACAGCCGGCCTAACTCTTCCCTGATTCCCAGAACATGCATTGCCAGATTTATATCCTCTAGGCAGGAAATTGGATGTGTTCTCCCTGGAAAATAAGACCAATCCAAGAGAAAAGTTATTAAAATACCAACCTAAAGGCCTCCCAGTGAAATGGGTTATTTAGCTCATCTAGTAAACCTAGATCTACAGTTCAGGACAAGCCAAGAGAAAAGCCTGTTGTAAACTGGGAGCTGGAAAGTCTCACACTCTGGTCACTTACTCCAGGAAACATCTGATTGAATTGTTAATTCTACTCACAGATGGACTATTCCTATTGAGGAACCTTTGGCCTAGTCATGGATCCCTGGCTCTACTGGTTTTGACCAGCTTTGCAGAACAGGAGTCTGTTGAGCACAAGTCTAACCCCAAGGGCTCTTATTGCTCTTTAGCAATTTTTTCATTTCAGTTAACATTTGTTAACATCACCAGTGATTATTACATCTTTTTCACTTACTTAACTTCTCAACTCTACCTCCACCTCTCTTATTTTCAGTAAATTACCTTACTTCCTATAGTCTGAGAAGTTGGAGGATGTCTCATGTGAATGTCTCTTCATATTCAAATCCCTCTTCAACTTGTTTTTTTTTTTAACCTGTTGTCTTCTCTCCTGGACAAAGAAGATATTTCCTCTTTATTTTCAAAGCCTAATGAGTGTGCCCATCTTTTGATCCTGTTTCATCCAACTTATAGACCCATCCCACCAATGATTTGTTTTGCTTTCTCAATTCATTCGATTTGCCCAAATGTGGACACTGATGTGCCACTCAGGTTCCCGTCAGGGCTGAAAGAATGATTCTCCCAAGTGCCAGAAATGCTGCAGTGAGGTGGTTCTCCGAAGAATTCTCAGGAGTCACCTGGAAAGAAGAAAGTCACCTTACTAAAGGTAACACCCTTTTCTTTTCAGCACTCTTTGAGGGACTGATTCATTTGGGGATATAAAGACCCAGCCCACTCACTTTAACTAGGGACAGCTCTGATTGGTCTTTCCAGCCTCGGATCTCCTTGCATGTTGACAGAGGTCTTCACTGAGACTCCATCACTGCCTACCGTTTCTTGGCCCAATGCATTTCCTCTTCTCACCTCCCACAAGTAGTTAAACCCTAGAGCACTTTCTAACTAATTTACTACATGCTAATCTCCTTCTCGGATCTGTTTTCCAACCTTCCCTTCCAGTGATAGTATGTGTAGTGTGGGCATTTAATAATTTGTTAGGTCATGTAGCAAACTGTTCAGTTAAAAAAAGTGTACATTTGTGTTCCCATCAACAATGTAGAAAAGAGCCTTTTTCCACATCCTAATGCTACTGAGGTATTATACTGTTACATCCTTACAATTTTATAAATAATAGAGGGTGTCTCATTCTTGCTTTATTTGTATTTTCTAATTATGAGTAAGTGTGAGAGTGTTGTCAGATACTTATTGGCTATTTATATTTCATTCCTTTTTATCTGTTATGTTCTTTGTCTATTTTTGTATTATAGGAACTTCTTATATATTAATTTTTTAGTATTTTTTGTATTGTAAGAAAACTGTAAGTAAGTTTTCCAGGTATCTCGAAATTTTGGCTTTATTTAAGACTTTATTTTGGCCAAAAGTTCTACATTTTAAAATTATTTAACATTATCAATATTTTCATAAATCTTTCATTTCTGTTATGCTTGAATTGACTTTCTCTGTGCCGAGATTTGCAAACTTTGTTGTTTTCTCTAGAACTTGGCTCAGATGCCCTTGTTGCCATAGTGATTGACTTGTCTTTGCTCCATGGGGGCTCATTTAGCTCCCAGGATACTAAATTCTCTCAGTTTTCCTCAGACCTTGGTGGTTGCCTCTTCTCCCTTGTACTGGTTCCTCCTCAGCCTTCTGCACTCTTCTCAGAGGCACACCCCAAGGTGAAGTCACCAGACTTTTCTTTTTTATCTATATTCATTTCTTGATGACCCCAGCCAATCTTAGGGTTCACTCCTGCTCTGTGTGCTGACAAGTTCCAAATTTTATTTCCTCCAGCCGGACTCCATCCAACTGTCTACTCAACACTTCACTTGAATGTCTAATGGACATCTCAAACCTAACATTCCCTCACTGAACTTCTGATCTTCCCTCCCTCAGAATCTGTTCCCTTATTGTCTCTTCATTTCTGTAATGACAGCCCCATCCAGCTAGTTACTCAGAACCAAAAGTCTGGTGTCATCCTTCACACCTCTCCTTTGCTCACACCCACATCCCATCTGTCAGCAAATCTACTTACTATAACTTAAAAATACACTATTCCGTTCCCACTACTATCACTGCTAGCTCCCTGAGCAAGTTGCTTCACCCTAACATTCTCTCTTTCCTCATCATTTACCTGGGGTAATAATAGCCTCTGAGTTACAGGGTTCATGAGTGCAGTAAAGGGAACATTTACATGTAAAGAATTTAGCATAGTGCCAAGAAGACAGTGAGTGCACATTAAATATTAGTTTGCATTAGTGTTTCTGGCCTTTGTTTTCTAGAAGATTTCAAGATTTAACTAGTGAAATTGAAGTGACTGTATCTTTTTCACAAAAACTGAATTTTATTCTTCAATACATGAAATGTCCATAAGATTTCAACTAAATGACTCTAAAAAATGAAATTGCATGTTGATGGTTTGTTTAGCTTACGAAATAAAAGGAAAGTCAAAATTAACCTAATCCAGTAAAATAGTCACAAGAATTTAAGGAATTAAAAGCCACAGTGGCAATTTGAATCATTAGAATTCTCTAGTCTGATTAAGAGTGATTTTTAGCTAATCAGAAAACTTAGGCCCAGAAAATATTTTTAACCCAAGGTTATATCAGATTGTATTGCACACTGGATACCAACTTCCAGACCTGAATAACTTTGGAGATATGAGGAAACTCACTGGATAACTTCAGCTACTAGGTTAATATCCATCACTTACATGAAGCAACCTCATATTATTGACCTTCAGTACCATTGAAGTCTATCATTCCAACTAATTATGAATAGGTACAAATATTCTAGAAAATTCTTAGCAGCATAATATTAGATGTCAGCAATATATAACAGGTCATATAGTAGGTCTGAATTATATAGGAAGCATCTCAGTAGGTACTCACCCATAAATTAAACACATGGATACTGCTAATAAATTAGAATAACCCATCCCTCTACAAAGAAAAATACGTTCAGGATATTTAACTTGTTCCTTAATAAAGTCATTTTGTTATCACATATGGTGAGAATAGTATTTTAATAGAAAAGAAAAATGTTCATATAATTTTATTTAATATATTTGGGAAGTCGTGTTTATTCTTACAGTAATTCTCTCTGACTCTACCTCTTTGGCTCTGTCTCTGTCTCTCTGTTTATATATGTTTGTATACAATGTACACACATATATTAACGCACCTATATACATAAAACATCTACCATGTGGGTGCTCAGTAATAAAACAGTGATGAATTGTTTTTATTACTTCTTTGTAAAAATATTTTGATTCTTTTGAGTATAAGATCTAGGTAATCATGAACTTATAGTATTTTAAGTGAGGAAAAACAACCTTTATATGAAATCATCAGGAATTGACTATGTTTAATTTGTTGCTATCCTTTCTTTGTGCATATTTGATCATATATCAAGCTGTGATATTTTTAGAATGATAAATACAATGTAAATTTTTTATATATTGCATTATACAAAAGTTACTTATAAAATGTGAATTCCCACTAACGCCTATTGTGGGATCATTTTAGATGATCCACATATACTCTGTATACTAATTTCTGTTTGTTTGTTTGTTTGTTTTGTAGGAAGTCCTGGCTGAGCAAGGTTGGAAGTCCTAGTTCTCGCATTGACCGCACAAACTTTTCTAATGAAAAAATCATCTCTAAACTTGAATATTCTAATTTCAGTATTCGATACTAATAGAGAAGAAATTAAAATTATAATGCTTCCAATGCACATTAGATACCACATATCCTGAAGTCTGTTTTCTAGAGTAGGATAAAAAAAGGGGAGCTTTCTGTTCTGAAAGCTACAGAATTATGTTACTAAAAATGTTTGTCATTGAAATAATTTTCCTAGGCCTTTTTTGAGAAGCAAAAACATTCTAAGATTAAAAGTCATTACTGATATTTAATATGAACGTTCAATTTAAGATTGTCTCATGGAATCTTATAGCATATATGTTATTTGGTTAGACATAAAAAACAAAGTGAACCATCCAAGTTATTTTTAAGTACTGTTGTCTATAGTGAATTCTAATACTGTCTGAATAATAATTTGCTATTAAAACTTAGTAATGTAATGATTGAAGTCTTTAGAAGAACCAGTAGTTAAAATAAATACGTGAGATCAATATAATCATAAAAATATCAATAGAATTAATTTAAAAATTCTGTTTAAATATAAACATGATTCAATTCTTAAATTGTTCTCATTTAATATATATTTTTGAACTGTATTGTTTTGTCTAGTGCATGGTCAACTTGGTGATGGCAGCTGTAAGAGCTCACAGTTTTAGCACAGCAAGTGGCAAGATTTCTATCAGCTACCCTCGTGGGAGGTAGAAAGACTGTACTTTCTCCAGCCCTGGAGAACTGTACCTTTCTCCCCACTTTTTGTTAACAAAGGTCAGATGAGCATCAAAGGAAGGAACTAGCAGATAGTGAGTGAAGTTGAGCAATAATACCCATTAATTTGATTTTGCTGGACGTGATTTACCATTTTTATGACTAATTTTTTCTTTTGAAATGGCCTCAATATGTTGCCCATACTGGCCTCAAACTCCTGGGTACAAGTGATCCTCTTGCTTCAGACTCCTGATAACTGAGATTACAGATATATACCATTGCACCAGCAATGATTTAATATTTTCAGCTTTGTCTAGCGAAGGAATTTTTCAGAGCATTTATCTTGAAACTCATTATTTGAGACAATAGGAAAATCAGAATTCACTTTCCAGAAGGCTAGAGACCATAAATATGTTTATATAATGACTCTCCCTTGTCTCTGTTGATACAGGGATCAAAAGATGTTCTCTAGTTAGTTAAGAGGAAGATCTTTCATATCTAGAACTAATTTTAGGAACTCGACACAGGCAGTCTGGTATAGGAGGCTTTGCTGGAGAAGTCAGAAGACCTGAACTCTGGGCCCAGCTTATCTATTAATTAGCAATGTGCCCTAGTGTCCTTGACTGCAAAGTCAAGATGTTAGGGTAAGTCAAGACTTTTTACAAGATTCTATGAACCAGAGGACTCCCAGGGTTGTGACCAGGAGAGCCATTGAAGAGTAATGAGAAAGATGAGCAGTCTGAACTCGGCCCAGAGCCCTGATCCTCACTCCAATGAGAGCAGCTCTACACTCCTCTCTTCATACAGAGATTGTCCATGAGAGACATCTTTTAAGAAGAATTTGGGGACTGAGAGTGTATTCCAGTGGCAAAGTACTTGCTCTGCATGAGTGAGGTCCTGGGTTCAATCTCCAGCACCACAAAAGAATTCTGCCTCAAAGAAGCAAACAACAAAAATAATAGCAAAGATACTGAATCTGGGATCTTATAAACTAAATTTCTATAAATGTACTTAAATGTATTTCCTATTCTCTTGACTACTTTTGTCAAACCAGCATGGCACATATATTTAACCCTAAGTGGTTTCCACTGAAAATATGCATAATTTGTGAGAAGACTATTGGAAATAAATTCCTGTTCTTTATTGTGGCCTCCATAAAGTTTCATGGTTTCTAAAATATTTCTAAAATTGATTTTCTCTTGTCTTTTCAGTTTTTCTCTTACCATGGTGAAAAACATTCAAGAAACACAAATATATATAATTAGTAGTTTGATTAAAAGTTCTATAAGCATATCTTGGAAATTTTAACCTAGCATTTGTGTGTAAGAGGTAAATTTCCCATTCTTAACTGGTTCATGGTTTTGATCTTATTAAAATCTTTAATTTTATAATTTAAAAATATAGTTATTATTTGATATCATAGATTTTTCTATAGAAAATGAGTTACTTTTACTTTTCTAGAGAGCCAGATTTAGTTTTCTCCTCAGCTGGAAATATTGGTATACATTCTTGGCTGGATGCAAAATATACATCTTAAAGTCTAAAACTTATTTTTCTTTTATTAGTTTTACTTTCTAGTTGGCCTGATGAACTCTGCATGTAGCACTGGATACAATGTGACCTCTCCCTGTCTTCCTCTCTCATCTTCTACAAATACTGTATTAGAAGATATATAGAGAAAGAACAGGGCCAGGGATTTAGCTCAGTGGCACTACACCTGCCTCGAAAGAACAAGGTCCTAAGTTTGATCCCTGGTACCAAAACAAACAAACAAACAAAAAGTAGAAATCTTTCTATGCCTCAGGAATGATTTTCTAGAGAGCAATAAAAGAATCAACCTTTTTCTGCCTTTCCTGATCCCAACTGCATTTCTTTTTATATACTAGGATAACCTAACTCCCAAGTCACAGCACACAAGAAAGAGGACAACAGTAGTGGTATAGTGGGTAGTCCCTTAAAAAATGAAAGTGGCAGCCAAGAAGAAGAACATCAGTAGCAGAGCATAGTAAAAATTGTGTTCAGGAATGCTGGTAGCAATAACAGAACTGTAAACAAAAGCAAGGGAGTGATTATCACAAAGCAGGCAGAATAATACATCTGAGTTAAAGGAAACAGATTGTGGTCCAAGACAGGCTCATGAAGGCCTCCTAACAAGCTGGTGATATTATATTTCTTTATAGGAACAGTAGCTTCATAAGGTTTACATTACAATTAAACTCTATGACATAGATTATATATCTTTTCATATATATTCATGATTTTTAAAAAATCAAGCGTACCTATAAATCTCGACCAAACAACTACAAAATATGGAGTAGAGCAAAACAGCCATTCTCAGTCTATGTGAGAGGAATATACTTGTCTGTTGGCAAATACCAGTATATAGCCAAACTCTCCTCATTAAAAGATGAATAAGCAGGGAAAAGCCCAGCCTTACAATTTAGAAAAAGCATTATAGCCCAAGGTGAAGTGTACATTATCCTTTACAAAAGGGAAAATTCATACATTTAAATTACTTACTATAAGAAGACAATAAAATTTCAGGAAACATCTGCTAATGTCCTCAATAGCATGTGATATAAGCTGATCTCCATGAAAAAGACAAGGGAGAATTTGGAGAGAATATGTGCAAACTAAAGTAAAATAAATGGATTAAAGAAAATTAGTTGAGATGTAAAAATATGAAGAGCTGGCAGCACTTAAAACATGGATAAACTGCAGGAGAATTACAGTCCATTCTAGAATCAGTAACCAGAAATTGCATTTCTGAGAAAGGTGTGATCGATCAGTCTTTCATGGTTTTTGTCTTTAAGTTACACATTTGAAATTCTCCAAGTGATTCTGATAATCAGGCAGGCATAGGAAATGTTGGTGAACAGAGCAAACCTAAAGATCTTCAGGAGAGTCAAAGAAAAAAACAAACAAAACTAGAGAGGAAAATAATTTGAATGAAAGACCACATATATGTTCCACAAATAATTTAATGATAAAAATGCATAGAGAAAAGGATAATTGAAAAACCAGAAGGAAAAATCAGTTATGATAGAAAACTTCCTCGAGGTAAAGTACACAGCTGTAAAGTATATAGTATAAATTTTACAGTATAAAGGTCTACAGCTAGCAAAGACTTAACTATAAGCAAAAATGAAAAGAGGGCCTTACATAAAGCCTGGTTTAAAAAAAAAGATAATTGTGAAGATAAATAACAATGCTCTAACAGACACCTTAGGGAAGAGCCCAATTGCTGCCCAGCAACTGTTCTGTTTTCCTCTTTTCTACACCTTCCCGGTCTATTTCATGTTCTCACTTCTCATTCCCTCTCCTTGTCTTCAGCCAAGAATTCCCTTGGTGGCTACCCCTGCATCTGCCTACGAAGCTATATCTGTCCAAATACTTGCTCTACCTTCCTATTTGTTACTATAGGTGAATTATTTATGATCCCAGTTAAGGCCGTGCCTGGATCCCTGTGCTCCAAAACTCTGCTCCAGCAGTTCTCCTTCATCATCAATTTTTGTTTCCTACTGCTTGAACCTTTCCCATTAGTCTGCAAATACGCTATTTCTCCCTCTCTTGGCTCATCCAGCTATGGCTATATATCTCTCTTTTATAGATAAATTCCTCAATAAAGTTATATATTTTTGCTATAATCCAGCCCTGCCATTCTTCTTAAAGCTGTTATCATTCTCATGCTCCCCACTTCTCAAAATTTTTACTCTGCCCCTTCATTCCAAACTTACTCCTCCCAGACTTCCCATCTCAGCAGCTCTTCTCACAAATGACCCCACTTTAGTTACTGGCGACAACACCAGAGATGTTTGATGCAGAAGCCTTGAAGTCATCTTGAAATTGCTCCCCATTCATGTCTCTTCTGTTGTCTCTAGCTTCAAATGTCTAGAATTTGCTTTAAAATAACCAGGGAGTATGGGAGAGAGCAAGTGGAAGAGATCAGAGAATAAAGGGGCAGAAAGAACTATAGATGAAACAGTATTGAAGTGAATGCACAGAGGTTCAACAGACTATTCCCTATTTTATTTTTATATTTTTCAAAATTGTTTAAATATATAATAATACTTAATAATTAAATTATTTAAAAATATGTGCTTGATACCACCACTTCTCACTACTGGTAAGATGATAGCCCTGGTCCCAGTCATCCTCATCACCATTATAATGGCATCCATACAGAACTCCCTACTTCTGCCTTTGCCCTTCCTCAGTCTGTTTTCAACCTAGCACTTAATAGAATTCAGCGGTGAAGCCATCAGGGCCTGGGCTTTTCTTAGTTGGTATGTTTTTAGTATATGTGCTGCCAAAGCAAGTGCAAATTGGTAAGTTTTTAATTATGTTTTGCATTTTGTTGATTGACACTGGGTTCTTTAGAATATTTAGGTCTTCTTTGTTCAACTTTGGGAATTCATACCTATCTTGGAATCTGTCCATTTCTTCTGTGTTTTCCATCTTATTGGCATATAGTTTCTCAAAGTAGGTATTGATGGTCCTCTGGATTTCTCCTGGGTCTCTTGTAATGTCAACCTTTTCATTCCTAATTTCATTGATTGGACCTTTTCTTTCCTGTTTTTGATAAAGTTGCCTAAAGGTTTGTCAATTTTGTTTATTCTTTGGAAGAACCAGTTCTTCATTTTTTGTATGGTTCTCTTAGTGTCCATTGCATTGTTTTCTGTCCTGATCTTTATAATTTCCTCCCTTGTATGAGCTTTGTGTTTGTCCTGCTCTTCTTTTTCTAGAAGCTTGAGGTTCAGCATCAGGTTCTATAATTGAGCTCACTGTTTTCCTAGTATGAGTATTCACTGGTATAAACTTTCCTCATAAGACTACTTTCATTGTGTCCCATAGATTCTGATATGTTTGTTGTCACTGTAATTTAATTGTAGGAACTGTCTGATTTCTTCTTTAATATCCTCTGTGACCCATTGGTTATTCAGAAATATGCTGTTGGGCCAGGGATTTAGCTCAGTAGGTTCTGCCACCTGCCTTGCAAATGCAAGGACCAGAGTTTGATCCCCAGTACCAGAAGAAAAAACAAAAGAAAAGAAAAGAAAAGAAAAAGCATGCTATTCAATTTCCATGTGTTTATAAAATTCTTGTGATTTCTTTTGCAGTTGATCTCCAGTTTCATCACACTCTTATCTGATAATATACAGGGGGGATAACTTCATTTCCTTTGCATTTACTCAAACATGTTCTGTGAATGAGTATGTGGTCTGTTTTGGAGAAT